AAAGTTTTACAGGTTTCCTGCAAAAGGTAAAAGAAAATTTCCCCCGGGAAGGGGGTGTTGGGGTAATTTGGGTTTTCCCCCGTCTTTCCCCGTACATCCTGGCCCAAGCCCCCTTTTCATGTAAACAATAGCCCGTAAAAAAAATAATCCGTAAATTAAAAAAGAAGCGCGAAGTCCACCCCCCCAGGGTTTTTGCCCTAATAAACAAAAGAGGTTGGTGATTTGGCCAATAAGAAAAACCAATAATTGTATTACTATTTTTTTGGAAAACAACACCAAAGGCATAAACCACAATATACAATACATTAATATATATATATATATAATAATATAATTATATATATATATATATATATATATTTATATATATATAATATATAATCCTTCCTGCAAATTTACTAGAGAACCGTATTACCTTTAAGGTCTTCTCTTTTCTCTAATAGGTGCTATCAAACATGTAGCATTAAATATCGTTGATTTTGTAGGAAGTATTTATTAGTTCAATTAATTTTATTTTTTTTTTTATAATGGCAACAAGTAACGAAAGTGAGGCATTTTCTTTTCTATCAGCACAGCAGGTATAAACTATAACTGCACATTCATTAGAATATGAAAACGATACATTAAACATCTATGTATGTTAGCTAAATCCAGTAAAAATCTTTGCAAAATCAGAAAGAACTTTTTAAATGCTTCTCGTAGCTGCGCCATCTAGGAGCGGATAATCGAACCGATGGTGTTTTTTCTTCTTCTTCTTCTTCTTCTTTCTTCTTCTCTTCTTCTTCGCTGTCTCAATACATAGAAATCGAGGAAGGCAAAAGTGGATATATAAATGGTTTATCATTGTATCCGTACATTTACCACTGATGGAAACACGAAGGTTATATACTCAGTGATGAGCTAAAATCGGATCTTATTTTTGGCTTTTACTATTCCAAAAGTGATTATGAAGATATATAAAAAACTTTGATTTCGTGAGGAAGGACCAGTATGCCATGTTTATCTACACATACAGGGTATATTATTACTGATCCGGCCCTCGTTTCCCTTCCATTCCACATCTCGAATATTAATTGTGATTACGTAACCTGTTGTAAGAGATGAATTATATATCAGTTGTGATGTTTGTTACACAGTGTGTTATGGTTGTGTATATGAATTCAACAAAATTTGAGTTAACTGATATGGTAGTTATGATAAATCCTGTTGCGATTATGGCTGCGACCTCAACACTATGAACTTCTTCAAAAGAATCATAAAATGCTATAAAAATGTACAGATGAACAGATAGCCATAGATTGTTGAGAAGATCTAGGAAGAAAACATTATCTTTGATGTTCAGTGTAAGCTTTCTTCTTATAAGCTTGGAATACATTTTATATTCTACCAACTACAAATAAATAGTTGTTCTTATTAATCGCTATCCATAATAATGATTATACCGTTTAAAAGTCGAGGGAGAAGCGTAACCACTGTCGTCCATACAGTCTAAACTGCCTCTGATTAGCGGAAATTAATCTTATTTGTTCAGCTTTATATAACAAGTTGCATGCTTTGTGTGTAATCATTTGTAACTTATGATAAAACTTATTTTCCAGGACATGCTTCATCCGATCCAAGTCGCTGCTGAAGGAAGTCCTCTAAGTAAGTGTCTGTCTCCGCGTACACATACATACACATACATGCGTACATGGTTACATACATGCACATACACACGAACGCACACATATATACGTACATTCGCACACACAAACATACATACATACGCACACACCCACATAGCACAGGGACACACAACACACACACACACACACACACACACACACACACACACACACACACACACATATATATATATATATATATATATATATATATATATATATATATATATATATATATATATATATATATATATATATATATATATATATATATATATATACACACACACACACACACACAAACCAAAACGCATATAATTTGCCATGATAACGATGGCTTTATTTGTGGTTATTATTGTGAAAATCGTGATTTTTTATTAGTAAATACGAAATACAATGATTTGAAATATAGGCTTATGTTGAAAATTTATACGTTTTACAACTGCCACTTTCACGCCATGCTCCTACACTCACACACACCACCCAACGCAACGCACAACACCCAACACACTCACTTCTTCTCCATACTCAAGACTGACCCTGTTTCACCCCCCCCCTCCCAGCCGGCCAGCGCATCGTGGGGGGCCAAGAGGCAGAGCCGCACAAGTACGGATACCAGGCTTTAGTTACCGACGATGAGTCCTTCATCTGTGGGGGCGCTGTCGTCGGTGACAGGTTCATCCTGACAGCTGCCCATTGCATAAAAAAGTGAGTAATGATAGTGTGATGTGACGATGAGGAAATAATGGTAATGCATGTAATTGTAATGGTAATACCTACACCAAAGGTTGTACTTGTGTTGTTACTTTTGTTTATATGAATTGCAGGACGTGACAAGCATAATTGAAGGCAACGAAATTAAGAACATTTCAAGTAACTGAAGTTGAACTGACTGAAGTTTAAGCCCAGTGATGCTCACTTTCAATGCTAGATCTTTTAAAGCTTAATTTGTCTTTCTTAATCTTTTATCAGTGCATAGATATGACTTTTCTTATGAAGGGAACTTAACTCTCGCTTCTGATTTTTATTGCTGTATTTGCCTTTTTAGTTTTCCGGATTTTCACTTTTATGTTGAACTTTTACCTACTTTTTACTGTGCTTTTTGCTTACATTTTACAGTTTCTTTTACTTACCTTTTCCTGTGTCTTTTACTGTGCCTTTTACTTACCTTTTACTGTGCCTTTTACTTACCTTTTACAGTACCTTTAACTTACCTTTTCCTGTGTCTTTTACTTACCTTTTATTGTGCCTTTTACTTACCTTTTACAGTGTCTTTTACTTACCTTTTACTGTGCCTTTTATTTACCTTTTACTGTGCCTTCTACTAACCTTTTACTTACATTTTACTGGGCATTTTACTTATCTTTTTCTGTTACCTTTACTTACCTTTTACTGTGTCTTTTACTTTTGCTTTACTCTTTTGTTTCCGTTTCGTTATTTTACCCTTATGTTACCACACGTTTCTGTGCCTACCGCTCGTGGTACCACGATTGCTTTTGCTTGTGCTTCCACTATTTCTACTGCTATTTTTACTGCTACTATTTATATTGCGGAAGGACTCTAGAGAAGGAGAAAGCTACATCCTAAATAGATTTTCTTCCACTTTTTTCATATTTTTATATTTTTATATATTTTGTTTATTTATTTATTTATTTTTGTTTCAAGAGTGAACAGAACCCCTTATCTCACTTGGTCCCTAAGCCTCTCACGGGAGATAATTCGGTCTCCTCTGTACGGATTTGTACCCGGCCTAACGTAGGTGCATACTGTAGATAAGAGAGGATTCCTGCATTGTGCACAACCTGTACTATATAATCTGTACTTTGTTTACCCTGTATTTCTGTATATATTGTGTGTATGCATAACCGTCCTAATACAAGATGTTCCTATTTATTGATGTGGCCTCCCATATCTGTATGTTTATTGCACATGATGTGGCGACAGTCTCCCTTG